AGTCTCCTGCCTCAGCCTCCCATGTAGCTGGGACCACAGGCACCCGCCACAACGCCCGGCTACTTTTTGGTTGCAGCTGTCATTGTTGTTTGGTGGCCCAGGCTGGATTTGAACCCGCCACCTTAGGTGTATGTGGCTGGCACCTTAGCCACTTGAGCCACAGGCACTGAGCCGGCTTTGTTTTTTCATAGAGAGTTACTAACAAAGGCAGCTGAGCAGCTTCCTAAACTCCTTTTAGTCCTACCTATAAACTTATCTCTAAAACAACATTCTGCTTAGCTTTCCTGTAGCTAATTGCTTGCCTGTCAATATCCCTCACTAAACTGTCACTCATAGAGGGTGACAGTTTTACATCCATCTGTTGTCACATTGGAAAAGGTTACCTTTCACCAGACTAATCCCTTCGATTCTCATTTGCATTTAATTGTCTTCTGCTTTCTCGGGGTCTATGCTTTGCTAATTTTATGTTCAGTATTTTTAAGAGATGGTTAAGAATAGTTTTCATTACTTCATTTTTTTCACTTTCTATTCCACTGAAAGCTGGCTTTCACTTCCAATATTCTACTAAGACTCCTATTATTAAAGTCACTATTATTAATTTTTAGTTTTTCTCTCAAATTTAGCATTGTCATTGATTGCCTCTTTTTGGAAAATAAAGTGTAGTATCCACTGAACTAAACTCAGTTCAGTTCAACAGATATTTTTGAAAATCTGTTTTGAATTAAGCACTGGAAACAGAAGAATGAAAAATCCTGCCCTCTATGAGTGATAGTTTAATGAGGGATATTGACAGGCAAGCAATCACATTACCAAGAACTTTGACTGAGTTACATATTCAGTGACATAGGAAAACAGAGGACAATTTTAATACTTCCAGGGAAAGCTATGAAACTTTGCTTGGCTGTGTGAACTTTGCATGGCTTTTTGACAGTTTCTGAAAGTTCTTTAGGAAACTGATTGACTTAGAGGTCACTGGCTCCAGACAGACGTAAATAAGTTATGGTATAGATTTTTAAGTAGAGAATGTAGAAAACAAAGATTTTTCTTTTCTTCCTTTAGTGTTTTCTTTTTTTGAGAGAGGGTGGGAGGGAATAAGATAATTATTTCTTTGAACTGATTAACTGTTTTGTTATGTGTGTGCAGCACTTCAAAAAGCCTGCAAAATTTTTAGTAAAATTCGAAGTGGTAAGATTTATGTGAATGATCTGCCAATTGTTCTTTGCACCTTGAGAATTTCTGTAAATGATTCAGAAATGCGGCAAGCACTAAAGTCTGTTGCTATTGATGGTAAGTTGTTACGTTTTCAGTATTAATTTAAAGGTCTGCAATCATGAATATAAGTTTATCAGTTTAATTATAAATTATAGGAAAGCTAAGTTTTAAAATATGTTATAAAAATATAATTTTTTAGTTGTATATGTTATAAATTATTTTTATATAATTATGATTTAAAAATTGGGTCTCAGATATACACAATTGGATTGATTACTAGATTGGATTTGGATTATGACATTGTCATCATCAGTTTATACATGACCTACTTTTATCTAGTTAGGAAATATTTTTTTTTTTTTTTTTTGAGACAGAGCCTCAAGCTGTCCCCCTGGGTAGAGTGCCATGACATTACAGCTTACAGCAACCTCCAACTCCTGGGCTCAAGTGAGTCTCCTGCCTCCGCCTCCCAAGTAGCTGGGCCAACGCCTCCCAACGCCTGGCCATTTTTTGGTTGCAGCCGTCATTGTTGTTTTGGTGGGTCCGGACTGGGGATTAGAACCCGCCACCCTAGGTGTACGTGGCTGGTGCCTTAGCCAGTTGAGCTATAGGCGCCGAGCCTAGTTAGGTAATTTTAAAAAAATTTTTTTATTTTTATTAGTATGGATTCATAATAGTTGTATATATTTATTAGGGGCATGTGATGATGTCTTGATATATGCATACAATATGAATTAATCAAATCAGGGTAATTAGGGTATCTATTACCTCAGGCATTTCATTTCTTTGTGTTAGAAACATTCCAATTCTACCCTTTTAGTTATTCTAAAGTACGTCCTAACTTACTGATTATATTCACTTTTTAATGCTAAACTATGTAATCTTAATAGTGTAATAAAACCTGACCTAGTCACCCCAAATAAAAACCAGGACCTTGACAATAACTTAGATCTGACTATAAAATTTACTGAAAAACCTATTTTTTTTATCTCCCTAACCTGAGGTAAGCATTATTTTGAACCCTATGGCTTGGTGTGGTGGCTCACGCCTGTAATCCTAGCACTTTGGGAGGCCAAGGCAGATGGATTGCTTGAGCTCAGGAGTTTGAGCCCAAACTGAGCAAGAGTGAGACCCTGTCTCTAGTAAAAATGAAAAAGAGAAAAGTATCCACTAAAAAAAAGTAAAATATTTTGAATCCTATGCTCATCATTCCGTTTTTCTTTTTAAATAGTTTGTTATGAATGTGTACTTTTGTAAAATAGTTTAAATTCTATAGTTATTTAAAAAGTTAAGTAAAATGTTTATCATGATAATATTTTGAGGCTTTTTCCAGTTAACATTTATAAATAAGATTTATTTATATTTTTGCATACTACTTTATTTGCTCAATCATTTGTATAATATATTGTATGAATATACCATAGTTTATCCATCCACACTCTCATTAATGAGCACTTAGCTTATATTCAGGTTTTTGCTACTGTAAACGGTTTTTGGCATGATATGTTTCCTAATATATATATATATTAGCATTTCTTTTGTTTATATACCTACAAGTGGAGTTGCTGAACTATAGGTGTATAAATTATCACGTTGTTTTCCAAACAATTGCCATTGTACTCAAATATACCCAAATAAAATACCCTGTGGTCCTTTCTTTTCGATATTAGATATTTTTGGACTTTTAATTTTTGCCAGTTACATGAAAGAAGAGGTTAATATTATATTTTACATATTTAACTATATTGAAATTAAGAACTTTTTTAAATCAAAAGACACCTTAAAGTGAAAAGATACATTGCAGATTTGGAGATATTTGCAATTTGCATGACTGACAAATGATTAGTTTTAGGAATATTAAAAGAACTCACACAAATCAATAATAAACAATGGAATAGAAAAATGGGCAAGACACATGGATAAATATTTCCTATAAAAGACAACACAGATGGTCCCTATAATAATCGTTTGTATAAAAGGATGTTCAGCATTACCAAGGAAATGTAAATCAAAGATCCTAATAACATTTTAAACACCTAGAAAAGTGGTGATTCTTTCTTAGTCACTGTCTGATATTTTTGTCAAAGAAGTAGATAATAGTGAACTCATTACATTTACAGACCATTCTGAGATTGCTAAGAAGGAGAAACAAGTTTAGAATAAAAATGCTATTAATAAATTGAATGGGCTCGGCGCCTGTGGCTCAAGCGGCTAAGGTGCCAGCCACATACACCTAAGGTGGTGGGTTCAATCCCCAGCCTGGG